TTTTTTTTCTTTGTTTCTTTCGCTGGTGGGTGAGTGAACCTCGTGCGAGTACCCCTTTGAAGAGACTGCGTGCGTGCTCGTTTGTTCATTTGGTTCTTTGTGCGTTGTGCTATATGCTTGCTGCTGCTGTTGTCGTCGCTGTCGTCGTCGTGGTGGGTGGCGTGAAGGGGGAGGTGCCCAGTGTTGATGTGGGAGGGCGGAGAGAAAAGCAAGACAAACAGAAGCGGAGGAATATTTTTAAAAGGAAAAAAAAAGAAGGAGGAGGAGGAGGAGGAGGAGAAGAAGGGGGCACGCATACCGGAAAACGAAGGCAAGGAGTAAACCATTCAATGAATCGGAATCAGCCAAAAAACAACTCGCACGGCCTGGAAGGGCAACGGAGGAATGAATAAGGGAGCTGTATGCGTCTCTCATGGAAGAGAGAGAGAGAGAGAGAGAGAAGGAAGGAAGGAAAAATGGGGGAGGGAGGAAGACACATACCGTGTGCAAAGAGAGAACAGCAACAGCCGTAGTAAGAACGAGAACACTAACAGGACCAATAACTGGAAGGGTGGTAGGAATTGCCGACGCGAAACTTGTGTAGAAGAAAGCGAAGAAAAAAAAAATGAATGACTGGGCATTGGATCCGGCCAGATGCTTTTCTCGGGGTTAGATTCACCTGTCTGTCTGTGTGTGCGTGTGAGTGTCTCTACCTGCGTGTGTTTGTGCTCTCATGTGTGTGCCAGAGAACCAAGAGAGAGAGAGAGAGAGAGGGTGTGTGTGTGTGTGTGTGCGAAAGAAGAAGCGTATATATGTATATGTCTTTATATTTATATATGCATGCGATATGTCTATTTCTCTGCCACTCTCTCTCTCTCTCTCTTTGTAGGCGTGTGTCTGTCTGTCTGTCTGCCTGTGTGTGTGTGTGTGTGTGTGGACGGGCGTCTGCCGCTTGTGGCCAGTCCTGTGTGTGTGTGTGTGTATGGTGTTGTTTGGCGTCTCCCCTCGCTTCTCTCGTGTTGTGCCGCAAGGAAAGCCAAAAGGAAGGGAGTGGGCAGGGGAAAAAGGAGAGGGAGAAAGAGAGAGAGAGAGAGACTTCTCGAAAGGGAGAAGGCGGGAACGACTGCGTGTGTGTGTGTGTGTGGGCGTCTGCAGTGACGCGCCGTAACACCTACACGCGCACACGTATTCCTTCGTTGGCTGGGTGACTGCGTTCCGCTAGAGGCGTGCGGGTGTGCGGCGCGAATGGCGGCACCGGCGGCGGGGGGCGGCTCTGCTGCGGATGCCGCTGCGCTGCTGGAGCAGTGCGAGGCGTTGCGGGCGTTGCTGCCGCACGAGCGCCCGGAGACTACGCCACACGTCCTGGCCCACGCCGTGCAGCACCTGCAGCGGGAGGCCAAGGCAATGATGCGGGCACATTCCGCCGAGGCGGCCCAGGCGCACAGCAGCTATACGGCGCAGCAGCGGGCAAACGAGACGCGCACACAGGCGCTGAAGTTGCTGCAGCACGCGGAGGCGATTGGGTCTGATATTTGCGTCTGTTGCCTCGGCGACGACATGGGGCGGAAGCGCAGCAGCGATGCCTCCGTGTCGAACAACACGACGACGATTGTGAAGATGCTGCCGCCCCTCGCCGTAGCTCAGATGCTGCTGCTTGTGCGGGAGACGCATGTGCTGCTGCGGGAGTTGCTGACGCACAGTGGTGTGGCTGCCGCCATGGGGCACAGCGATGATGACAACAGCAACAACAACAAGAACAGTTTAGAGCAACGTGAGAACCTCGTCGCGATACAGCACGCAAAGGATGCATACAGACTCGAGCGCCGGGTGGCGGCGATTGTGCGGCGTGAGCGGGCAGCTGCTGCTTCAACGGAAGCAACGGCCCCAGGCGGGACGCCGAACGACGACGACGACTACACAACGCGCCAGCTGGCCGCACTTGAAGAGGACTGCGGCATCTTACAGTTCGCCAAGAGCGAGATGCGGATCGCGGTGCTGCGTGGCCTCGTCGGACAGCATGAGAAGGCGGTAAAGAACCACCGTGCGGCGGTGCAGATGCTGACGTCTCTAAGCGTCCACGCCAAGAATCTGGAAGAAAGAGGTAAAGCTGGAACGGAGGTGAACCAACTGCTTCCTGTTGCCTTGTACAACCTCGGCTGCCAGCTCGAGCAGCTTGCTCTGGCGGTGGAGCACAAGGGTGGTGAGAGCGGCGGCCAACACGAACTGCAGCAGTTGAAACAGGAAACGCAGTTGGTGTTTGAGCGGGCCCTTTTGCTCGGGCGCCAATACCTGGAGCGCGGGCATCCACTTCTGCGCCAACTCCAGTACCCACAGCAGGAGCAGCAGCGTTATCCGCAATACCAACACCCGTTCGTGCAATCACGTCGAGCATCAGGGGGTACCGCGGCGGCCGCCGCGCCGCTGCACCTGCCGCCACTACGTGCCCCCCACACATCGGCACAGCCCACGGGTCTCCCGGTTCCCTTCAGCCTAGACGATGTGGTATTGCGGCATTCAGCTGGTGTGGAGTCGGCGCAAGAGGCGCCGGGGGTCGTACCTCTGATGCCGTCCCTGCGCGACCGCATCGCGAGTTTGCCGTCTCAAGAGTCCTCCTCCATGCAGCTGCGCAACACCCTCCTCGGCCTCCTCGGCAACAACAGCAATAACAACAAGGACCGGTTCGCCAGAGGGCGGAGGAGCCCAGAATACCTGTGGAGCCCCAAGCAAAAGGCGAAGAACAAACAAATGCAGCCGAAGCCCGCACCCGAGGTTCTGAACTGTCACCGCCTGCGTCGCCCCAGTGACGCGCTGCGGCTTGGCGGTGTGGTGGTTGCCGATACGCTGCTCGAGCGCAAGGACGCGGACGTCGAGGCGGAGAAGGCGCGCAAGAAGGAGCTGCAGCGGCAGCGGCGCCGCAAACGGCGTGAGCGCTCCTTCCTCCCGGAGGACTGGAGCCTCGCCGACGACTCGCCCATCCCGGCAAAGACGAAAAAGAAGAAGAACCGCAAGTTGAAGCTCAAGGCCAATGGCGACGTAGAGAGCGAGGAGGACGCAATGGCGACGAATGAGGGCGGAGACGAGGAGCTGGCGCGCCGGCGCCTCCGGAAGAATAAGAAGCAAACGAAGCAGACGCAAGAGGAGGAATGGGGCGGTGATGAGATGGCGGAGGGGGGGGAGGGGGAGCAGCAGCAGCAGCAGATCTCAGCGGATGGCGTCTCCCGCAGCCTCACCTCAAATATCCGCTCATTGGCCTCAGAAAAAAAGCGCCGGCAGCAGCAGCGGAGTGGCGCCGACGGCAGATTGCCCTCTGACGAAGCAGCCACCGCAACGGACGGAGAGACGGTAGGTGGAGTTGTAGGCGGCGCGGTGGCTCGCCG